TCCGAAATCGCAGGAGGGTCGGTGTAATGCACTACCAAAACGCCCGTAACTAAGAAACAAATGCTAATTCGATTATGCCGGCTGGCACACTGATTCACTATGAATGTAGGCCGCACCCCCTACCGGCAGAAGCTCGTACTACATCCGGTTCGCCCTCTATTGACACAGTCTTGAAACTTTCCGATCGCACCTCGTATTACATTTCGTTAAAAATAATGGAAGTTACATATTTTCAAAATATTTATTACCACACAAAATTTCAGTATCCTACATTAAGTAGCACAAATGTCACTCCCATTTCACAAAACTGCACAGCCGCCATGTTAGTATTTATTAAAAATTACAAAAGACTCTAGTGGTATACTAAGTCTTCTGAAAATCCGTCAAATGGTTTATAAGACGATGTCACACACACGGTCGGACAAGATGGGTTCCTGTCATGAAGTAATGAAGACTGATTATAAATGACGACTTGACATAAAATACGTTGCTATAATATTTGTAATTTAAAGTCATTAGTAGTCGACAAGATGGAGGGAATAACTAGACTCAAGTCTCCGTCACAGTCGTAATAAAGAGAATTGCGCAAGTCTCCATATCCAGAGAGGGCGTAGCGTTTACCGACCCGACATCCATGTCCTCGAATGCTCCTTATAAGACTCGCGTCTCCTACGCTCGTCTGGGGACAAGCTTATGTATTCACGTGCGGGCACAGCCAGAGGACCGATCACGAAGAATGACACTCGAAAGAAAATTTACCAACGCCAATCATAATTTTTCAGCAGATGGATCTTACTCAAGAGTTATACAGTCGGAGAGATTTCTTCTAGAGTATCCATCTAAAATTGAATTCTAAGTTTCCCCCCCGGGGGGCTTAGAGACCATACATCCTGAACGTAGTCGACTAAGACGAGCCACCTGTAAATATGCCTCGCCATTACTCAGGATGACAACATGACAATGATTAATGTCACACAGAAGAGTTGGTTTTGTCGCCAGGATGCAAATGGAAGGGCCGTCAGAATCCTGAGGAGCTTCTGCGCACAAATTTTGCCGAGGATCGATACAGATTCTGTCCCACGCATCCTCCATCTGCATTGTGCACCATTACCACTGGCATGGGTCTCAACACACAGTATCATGCGGTAGCCTGGCTTGAGCATCGTTATTTATTTATTATTGCTGTATTTAACGACGCCTTTTCAAACGAAAAGAATTATAACCAGGGCCTCTTTTCCAGACCTGTGGCCACATTCACCATTTTATATCGATTCGCGGGTCAAACAGCTACAAATGTGGGCAATTTATTAGAAGTACTATTGAATTATACTTCCGGTTGTACTGGCATCGACTATAAAGTTGACAGGCTTCTGGGATTTTACGACGTGTAGGACAGTATAAGCTGGCCGACGTTTCGGCATCCATCAAAAGTGCGATTGCCTTGCTATTATCTTAGTCTATTGTCACACGCAGGTTCGCATACTAATAATAATGTTATCTAACATATTTGATTATTTATTTTATAGTAATTAACTTAAAATTAAATGTTTAATCTGCGTGGTGACGACTTTTCATCTCGCACAAACTTGCGTTGGAAGCACGAAAAATGTCACAGGCAGCTGATTGAAAACCCTTGGTTTGCAGCGTTGGATGGTGTGATGATCGTGAATTATGAATTGTGATGAAGTACTGGTCTGGAATGCCTGAGGAAAACCACAAACAACTCAGGGTACTCTATCCTAGGGTTAAGACTTAAACCCAGAACCCACCGAACACGAAGCAAGAGTAGAATCCAAATGACCGCGATGTTAAGTTATTAACACTTTAAATACTTTGGTAATCGTACGTCACTTAAGTACGTGAGTGCCTTAAACATCCCTGAACAACCAATTACCCGGTGCTCTCGTGGGTTCATCGCGAGCACCTTAATGACCCGTCCATATCCACTAATACCAGGGTCATTTTTGGGACACACCGTAACTCAAAAATATGAAAACTGTTGATCAACAACAACCTCAGATTAAATTAATATCACAATAATCCACGTTATGTGGCGTGAAGAACGCCTCTCCAGTATAAGTGTATTAAACAAATTACACCTTTCCGATCCTCCACTAACGATGCACTAAGTCCTAAAACCAAAAATGGATGGTAATTTTGTTCAACTTGCAACTGCCCTGTTACTTTTAAATTATATCAACATCCATTCCTTGCTTCATTTATCCTACGCTTACACAGCAGCGGTGAAACAGAATAATTAGCTTCTCCGCTTACAACATTACGAAAACATCATAAATACAACTGTAACGTGCATACAGGCATTAGTATAAGAAAATATTGTCTTTTCCTTTGCCGTAGTGGCAGTCAACCAAGTTCCAAGGCTAACGAACCATCCGCCAATAGAATACAAAGCGCACGAGACTTCAGAAAACGCAATGATGCACTCATGTCAGGCTGAAAATTTGAGCTGAGCCTGTATCTTTGTGCGTCGTCAAAGAGCGAATTAGAAGACAAGCTATTTCGGTAAATAACAGAGACTGAGGAAAAAAATTTCCATCGCTTCCGGAGTTCATCAGAAATTCACCAAGAAGAAAAGTTCAAAACACCAGAAAGAAGTTAGTCTACAAAACGTCGCGGCTCAGATACTGAAGTTTAGTTGTCAGCTTAATATTCGGGAGGTGACGGGTTCAAATCTCGGCTCTTAAACCGGCTACCTAGAATAAAATTCTGTATGTTTTCTACCTCAGTCACTCAACGCAAATACCCCGATAGTTCCTTAAAATAGACCACGATCGTCCACTTAAAATAATTTCCGATTAATTGTTCGCTAACCATCTTATCATTTGACGCTATAGAATCGTAGCTATTGAAAACGTCGTTAAGTAGACCAAAGATAAATGAAATAGCAAAAACGTTTTCCCCTTCAACTCTTTTCTATTCTCAAGGATGAGAATGTAAGGAAGTTCGCCTGGAAATTTTGTTGTTATCGCAAAATCAAAACCTGATACAAAATTTCAGTGAAATGACAATGATGACAAACAGCCACGAGCATTAACTGGATCAGAAAATTACAAAACCAAGAAAAGAATGTTTTGACGATGGTATTACTTATCTCCTTGGTTTGGACAGTGCCCATTGCCTGTTAATTTTTTTTTAAAAAAATTACCTTAAAACTTTTCGATACTTGAGTCTACCTCATGTTCCGCTGGATCTCGTAGACCGAGTTACTCCTGATCTGTTGGTTGATAATTTTAGGGCAATTTAAAAATTAATAGGCGGTGGATGAAATCCAAAATAAATACATTAGCAAAAGCAAAGTTTTAAAGACGTTGCGTTTCTAACTATGAGGCGATATTTAACCACTGAACGGATAATCTTTTTAGAGCCAACCATAAAACATAACTAGACTACGAAGCATATACGAGGGGAATTAAAACAGGAAGGGAAATACTGGAATATTTTCATTGCTTAACTGGCAACACTGCTAAGGCCTAGTCATATTGTAGCCCAAGGTCAAAACAGTTGCATACTACGAACGCGGTTTAGTTGTCGTCCACTTGTGCATCGTAAAACTGGTTGTTACATTAGAGGTTTGCACCAAGAACAAGCAACATTGATGGCCAAGTCTTTCAGCAATTTCCCCAATAATTACCACACCGTTTTCAAATAAACATCGCCTCTACCTAAAACAGTCAGTCGTCTCATGCTCACTCGGCAGCAACGAAGGAGTGAACCACACTCGCAGCATGTTAGTCTGACCTTGAGCTAAGCATGACCAGGTCCCACACTCGCAGCATGTTAGTCTGACCTTGAGCTACAGCATGATCAGGTCTCAGCAGTGTTGCCAATCACACAGCGAGAATATTCCAACAGTTCCCTTACCTTTCGAATCCCTTCGCATTAAATGCACAGCAAACAATCTAGATATTAGTAAATCAACACAGTGAAAGACACTACAGGAGCTAGATGCAGCTCAGAAATACGTAACTTGAGCACACTGTACACACTCACTAAATTATTCTCAACTTAGCTTCCATTGAAGGATCTTATTATTTATTTGAAAATGGGTGATATTATCTATCTGTATGCTGGTAAAATTAAGTATCAGAAACGAGAGAAGTCTATTCAACATGGAAAATTTACTCCAGGACGACATATTATTCTGTTTAACGCTCACTTCCAAAACGTCATTACACAAAACGAAAGTATCATCTGTTTCTTACAAGTCTTAATAACAGTACCCATTTGTCTTGTAAATAATAATGGCAATGTTATGGTGCCAGTCTTAGGCAATTTGCTTTATGAACAAGAGCTTGGCTTCGGCACTCCACAGCCTTAAAAATGGCATTGCAGGGATTCACCGGTCAGATACCATTATGGCCGGCAACATCAAACGTACGCGCTATTAATACTCCACGTATATCGGATGTTATTTTGAAAGGTAGTTCTGAGTAGAGCGAGTCATACTAACCTCCTTCTCGGTCACCCATTTTTCAGACGTCAAAATAAATGATGAGGACAATATTGATATCAGAGATATGAAATTGGTGAAATATTTTTCCAGAAATTTGGTACTCACTGCCAGTTGTTATGTCGCAGCCTCCACTTCAAAGTCTGGGGGCCCGGAGGAGGGGGCTGTCTGCCTCAGAGATCCTTCTTGGTCTGGTTTCCTAAAAAAAAAAGTATAAAAACTTCTGATTTGTCCATCTGTAGCTGTCTACAAGCGTTCTGAGTAAGTTAAGTTTTTTGAACATCACTATGTACGTCATTCCATCACCTGTATATTAATTAATCTCTTACGAGTCTTTATATCTTCCTGGAGAAAATTACACTAAAAAGCTTCATCTGTAAGCCAAGTCTTCGCTAAATATTATTACGGTATTAAATTAAGGACGATTAAATAGGCGGGATTGGCTCAACAGCAGCAGACATTAAAAGAGGAGAAATACAAAGTTTCAAATGGAAAAGGCCACTTGGGAAGATCTTGACATAGATGAGGATAATATGAATGTTTATCTTAAAGAAACAGAATAAAAGCACATGACCCAGATCAGCTGATAGATATTAGCGTTTCAATAACGACATATCATTGAATTAGCTAGTTAGAATGATCCGAATAGATGCATAGGTAGATTTGGGTAACTCAGCAGGGCACAGTAAACATGCGTTCTATATTCACAATTTTATGGACAACTGGAGTCCTTCCTAATTAGCGAACACACAAGTACACCATTATTTTCATTTACGTGTAATGAAATAATGAAATAAAAGCTAATCGTATTAAAACCAGTGTTCTCCGATACTACATAATCAGATAAGTACACGAGAGAACACAACAGTAAAACATGTCCGACTCTTTCACATTACCGCCAGTAGTCTTCCATGCGAAAAAATATAATTACGGATAAAACTGCAGTTCTGGTTATAGTTACAGAACAAAAAAAGAATAAGTAAATTTTAAAAATAATGCAGTTGGAACGTTTAGTGTGTGGCTTAACAAACGAGAGATTATTTGGACGGGAGATAAAAAGAGAAGTCCGAGAAATCAAACAGCTGATCAATAACGTGCCGTCGACCGAGTTCTTTCAACGCGTCACCTTGTTCCCATTATGTAAACGTGCATATGTGGTAACGAATTTAAAATATAAATAACCTATCCTAAGGTAACACAAAACAACCAAACACGACCCAACAGAATCTATCAGACCTAGCAAAAAAATAAAATAAAATAAATTAACCCAACATAACTTATGACACACGATAAAAGGCTGCCAACATAACGCCGACACAATGTTCCGAATAAAGGTACTACAATAGTTTCACGATAAAACCTGGCCAAATGTTGACACTCCGTTGTGGACACTCAGCTCGTTGTGGGAGTGGTTATAACAAATAATCCACCTAAAATATAAATTATGAATCTCCTCATTATGCAGTTTTCTGATACTGCTGTCTTAGGTCCGCATATTTTGTTGTTCTCAAAGTTCTTATGTTAAGAGCGAAAGACCAAGTTCCACACCCACGCAACAACACATTCGCAATAATAAATATAAAAAATTTTAATAATATAATAAATATTAATACTGTAACATTAGACTACGTGACTGTCTTCAATAAAAAAGCTTTTAAAACGTATTCCTCAGGATCTGTCATCACCCTCACTGGACAGAACGAAATGTGGATTTGCTATCGACCAGGATCTGAAACGACTGTACCCAAACGGAGGACATGTTAGATGACACACACAGACTAATTTCCAGCATACGCCAATAAATTATGTCCATTACAGTTAACAGGACGCTGACTGCTTTTGACGTGAAGTGACAATGACACAATGTGGCACATGGCACACCATAAAGGATGAACTCGACCAACATTAAGGACATCCACAAACATGAATCGGCGCATAAACATACCAGCAAAATTTACTGGAGGGAATAACTCGAAAATATAATTATTATAATATGGGGCGAGAAAATACAGTTGTAGGGCGGATTCCAATGATTTGCAATAACGCCAACAGCGGAACAACGATTTGTTACCGGAATATTTTGACCATATTGAGAGGATGAGATGCCCTATAGCGGAAATGCATTCATCTGCAAACCGGATGGTCCTAGAATTCAATATCCGGTTGTAACAAGCAAAATCCCTGTATGAAAGTAAACCGAATTAATTCCTAGCTGCTGCCGGCCACCGATGGTTATGACGTTGCGTCATTCACTGTTAAAAAAGACACAGCCATGTTTCGTGATCGAGAGGTCACGGGTTCAGAAGTCGGTTATCCTGTGGAACATCGTGATATTCCGCAGTTCCTCCAAATAAATAACGAGACATTACATTAAAGTACGAAAGATCGCTGTCATCATCTATTGGTAAGTAGCAATTATTATTGAACTTATACTTCTTAAAATTATATTAAGTAACTAAATGCGCGTTAAATTCTTTGGCTATCTTCCACCTTAAGTATTTGGAACACGAAACAGGGGTGACATTAAGCCAATTTTCTTCTACTATAAGCACGCCAGTCTTTTTTCACAACCATCAAATATGAATAATTCGTAAGCGTTACACTAGATAAGAGTTACCAGCGTGTGTTCTTCCCAATACCTTTATTTACTCCAGCCAATGCATACGAGGTGCGATCGGAAAGTTTCAAGACTGCGCCTATCTATCTATCTATCTATATATATATATATATA